CAGCCTGAGCAAGCACACCGGAACCACTGGGCTCCTGCAGCCCGAAATGGGCCTGCCTGGACCCGCTGGCCAGCCTCACCTGCAAGAGGCTGGGATCCCTCTCATATGGCTGGGACGAGCTAGGCACCTGGCTGCTGCTGCCCCAAGGCCCAGGACCCTGCAGGATGATCCTGGCCGAAGAGCATCCAAGGCCCTAATCCCAGGAAGCCCCATTCCAGAGCTTTCCTCATGCTAGCCACTTATGTCCCAGGGATGGAGAATGGGTCCTCCTGAGGGGCCAGGCAAAAGGACACCGGCTCTGGCACCTCCCTTAGCCCAGCCCTGCCAGCGCACTGTGAGGGTGGAAAGGGACTTGGCATTTTTAGATGCTAAAGTGAGGGAGCATCTTGTTTACTGACCCCAAGGTTGCTAGAACCCAAAAAATTCCAATGGCTGCAGAGACACAGCCTCCCTGTAACCACCAGAGGGGGACCCAGTGACACCCCCAAAAGGGAAGGGGCAGGTTCTCCCAGGAGAGCCCTGAGAGGAAAGGGCCTCTGGAAACTGCTGCTCTCAGAACTTCTATATCCACTGGGTGTCCTCCTGTCCCCTCACTGTCCTCCTGTGCTCCTCTGTCCTCCTGTCCCCTCCCTGTCCTCTGTCCCCTCACTGTCCTCCTGTTCCCTCACTGTCCCCCTCAGTCCCTGAGGCCAGCCCTCTGTTGGCTGACTGGATGCCAGCAATCTCCAGGGTCACTCCTAGGCTGAGCTCATCCCCTCTGCTCTCAACAACCCACTGGCCAAGCCCCCAGGGCTGCCCCTCGGGGCATGCTCTCCCAGGCCTCTGCAGCTCTGGGCAGCACAGCCCCAGTCCAGGCTGACCAGCTCATGGGGCAAAGGAGTCCCTTTTCTCTGCTTCCACACTGAACACACCAGGGGCAAAATGCAGGGTGCTATGTCCCCTTGAATCGCTGGGGAGGGGCAGCGGGGGTCGGTCCAGCAGTGAGGGTCGGCAAGCCCCACCTCACTTCCTAAGGTGGTCCTGGGTTCGAGGTCAGGAACCAGACCCAATTCCAGCCTTCTGCGAGGTGGCACCCCGGGAGGCAGCAGGTCACGACAGAGGGCTTGAATTTCTGCCACACCTAGTGTGGAGCTCTGGGCTCCTGCTTCCGGTCTGGCCCAGTCCCTGGCCACTGCTAGCCGTAAGGAAGCGAGCCAAAAGAAGGGAGCTCTGTCTGCGTTGAGCCTTGTCTCTGAGATAATAACTAAGCAATAACTAAGCAATAAAGGAGAGGCGGGTAGGGAAGGTCGCTTCGGTTCTAGCACCCCCGGGGGCCAGGGATCGGGGGTACAGCATTGGGCTCTGTGGGCAAATGACACACATCCTAACATGGGAGCAGTGGTGCCCACCTTGCCAGGTTCATTAAGGGGACCGGGTATCTCGGTGTGGCTGGGATGGTCTGCCCTTCCGGTACTGGTGTGGGCAGTCCATCTGGTTAAGACAGGAAATGTCTCTGCCACATTGTTTGGCAAAAAGCATTTAACCATTCGGTTATTCTTGCGGTACGAATGCCCGATTGTGGTGGCGATGTGGAACGAGATGGCAGACAGCTGCAAGCACCCACTGTACTGGCGTCAGTTTTCTGGTGCTGATCTTGTATTCTAGCAATGGGAAATGTCATCACTACGGAAAACCTCGGAGAAGGCTGCGGAGGATGGCTCGAGGCCAGGGGCTGGCGCTGAAGCTGGGAGCCAGGGACACGGGCCAGACACCTGCTGCTTCCAGTACCCACGTCAACAGGAAGCTCCTGGCCACTCATCGGGCACACCGAGTGTCTAAACTGGCGGTTTGACTCTGGGTCAGATGCCCACCCTTGGACTCCTACTGTGATTTGCGCCTTCTGATGAATCTATAATTTAAAAAACTTTTCAAAAGTCCCAACATTTTATCTCCAGTTATAATTAGATATTATCCCTACAAACTTAGATGAAAGCACCAAGCACTAAAATGCCAGCTCCTCGGAGCAAACCCACCAGAAATGGTGGCACCCAAAAGCCAACCACAGTGGCAGCCGAAGACAAGCCTTGCCCTCCTCCCTCAGATGGGGACAAAGGTTAAAGGACATTTTCTGGTGGCTGTCTCCAAAATGAGGCAACAGAAAACGGACAACTGCAGGACAGAAGACACTCAGCCAGCTTGAGCTGCTTCTTGAAGGAAAGAAAGTGTGGGAACTTGCATGGGACATTTCCACCATACAAGGATTTTCGAATGCTGGGTGCTTGAAGAGGCACACCTCTGCTGTATCCTGGGGCTTCTCCTAGGTCTCACCACGCCTAGGCCACCTACTGAGTGCATGTTCTGGAACCTTCTGCATTATCTGCCTTCTGCTAAGCAGGCAGGAGCCAAGACCCTGGGACCAGACTGGCAGAGCATTGGTCCTGCCATGGCCCTTGTCACCCTTGTGTGAGAGCCCGGAGCTGCTGGGGTCTTGCGTGCTTGGTCTGGAACCCAGACCTGGCACAGAGTGAGTGGGCACTGCAGGCAGCTCTGACCATTGCCACGGTGGCTGGCATCATCCATGCAAGGGGACTTGCTCGGGACGTGAAGATGTCCTCGTCCTGTCCCCTAGGCCTGACTGGCGGGGGCCGGCCTCACTGGAACTCTGTGGACGGGGCGCAGGGCAGCACGCGTTCAGGAACGGGGAGGAGGGTTCCTGAGAGGGGAAGTATACTTGCAGGGCTATGGGTCCCTGGCTGGGGGCAGGCCATCGATCCAGGACAGTGGAGCAGGCATCTGAGCAGCGCAGCCACACTTCCTCTGGCACCTTGCCCCGGGCCCACCCCCGGTGCCCTGACTGCTGGCATGCCCTGGCCAAGGCTGACCATGCAGTCTGAGGACTCGCCAGTCGAGCACCACTGTGGCTCTCCATGCCACTCACGCTGGCCTGCTGTCACCCTCCCATGCTGACACCACCTACCTACCTGCCTGGCCTCTCCTTCCTCAGTCCCTTCCAAGGCCCAGGTCAGTATTGGGCCTTGGAGTCACAGCGACCACCAGGAAGGGGTGCTGCTTTCAGAAGCCTGTGGCCTGCAGCAAAGTTGGCCAGGGGACAGAGCACAGGACAGCAGAGGCTGGCGATTCTCCCAGGGGACTCAGACGGGACACTCTTACTTGGCACTCACAGGGGAGCCCAGTGGAGAGATGGGGCGGGCTGAGAACCGCAGACCTGGGAGTGCCACGAGTGACAGGGTCCTGTTACCCGCTTTGTGTCTCGACTCTTGGTGGCTCAACATGGGACATACCACTTGAGTCTATGCAGCTTATGATGACACGGAAATTCAGACCCCTCACTCGGCACTTAATCCCTGAACTGAAGTGTCCCCGGGGACCAGTGAGGCATCGCACACAAGGAATGAAAGAACACACGGCTGGCCATGCTGGGGCCTTTCTGAACCCTGGTGGCACAGGTTGCCAGCAGCATCTGCTAAGACAGGAGAGCGAGTCGGGGATGGAGCAGTCACAGAGCAGAGGGAGATGGGTCCTACCCCGACGCCTCCAGGTTACCTTCTCTGTCGGGGTAGACAAGCAGCCTGGCCATGGGCCCAAGCCATACCTGAGCTCAGAAGCTCCATGATGCTGCCTGGTTGGTGGCCACCCCAGGGCAGGTCCACATGCAGGTGACCACATCAGAGCATTTCCCTATTCATAGCTCTGGCTGTCTCTAGGGAGGCTGCCTGGGCCCTTCGACAACCTAGGGGGCCACTGGATGCAAGGGACGGTGTGGACGTCCCATGAGGAGCTGATGTTGAGGGCCCGACACCTGCAGTCCGCAGCCTGGCCCACACACATGCCTTGCCAGGGCTTGGGCTGGCACCTGGGAAGCAGGGCTGCTCAGGAGCGCTGAGCCCCGTAGTCCTTCCTCCCTGCCAGTCGGTCAGGGTCAGCCCAGACTCCTGGCTGGGAGGAGAGACTTAAAGCAGTTGGTTCAGCCTCATGACATGGAGTTTTCCTCCTCACTTCTGCACGGGCCATTCTCCAGGGAAGGTCAGGTCAGGCCTCCCTGCCTCTCCAGGCAGCTGTTTCACACCTGGAGGTCTCTGCACCTCCTGGCTGGGCAACACGGAGCTGGGGCTCCCAGCAGGTTAGACTGTCCCACCCCCGAGTCCTGCAGAGATGGGGCTCAGCACACACCCTGCCATGACTTGCAGTGTGACTCCCTCCACAAGCCGTCTCCTGGCGCCACATCCTTCAGCAAGGCCCCACTGGGAGCCCCTCGCCATGCCCGCCCCAGCCTCCACGGGCCTCCCTGCCACACTGCTCTGGCCTTGCTCCTGCCCCCATGCTCAGTCAGAGCTGCTGAAGCTCCAGGAGCCAGCATCATCTTGAGCAAGAGCTGCCCCTCTCTAGGCACCCACTGCTCCCTCCATGTGGAAGGCACTCTCCTGGCACACGTGTCCCAGCCTCCGGACAGCTGTGCCCTCCTCACAGGGCCCACACTCCCAGATACGACCACCAGCCTTCATAGCGAGGGCATCCACCTGCTGGGTTTGGCTGAGGGCTAGCCTCTGTCCCAGTCGAGTCTGTCCCAGGACTACCCAGCTGGCCCAAGGCTTCCATGGTCCCTAACTCCTCCCCAAGTCAGCCTGCTACCACCGGGTCTGACCATAAGACTCCTGAAATGGCTGCTGTCCTGGTGACCACGCAGTGCCTGTGTTGGGGAACAGGCAGAGCCCAGAAAGAGGTCAAGTACCCCAAGGAAGGAACCATAGAAAGAAGGGGCCTAATTCTGCCTGACCCTGGCCAGCTCCCAGTCCAGAATAGGAAGACAGCTTTGCTGCCTGCTCAGCCCTCTGTGCCCCGCCGTCCGCCCCCTTCCCGTGCACACCAACAGCCCAGGAGTGGCAGGTGTGAGGAGGGAGCTGGCAGGACCGCCCTAACAACATCAGAAGCACACAACAGCCACTCAGGCCACCTCCTAAGTGCCCTGCCCTGACCCCAAGGGCCCCGGACGCCTCACTCACCATTGGAGCGGTGGATGCACGTGTGCTGGTTGTCACTGAGGAAGAAGCCGCTGTGGCACTGACACTCGTAGCTGCCCATGGCGTTGACACAGATCTGCTGGCAGCCCCCGTTATTGTCCTGACACTCATCCACATCTGTGGGAGGAGGGGGGAAGGAGGAAAGTCACACCAGGGCTGGGGGGCGGGAATTAACCAGAGACCACACAGCAACACTGAGGTGCTAGGCTATGGGCACCTCCCACTGGTGCTGTGCGCAGTGCTGCCCTGAGGCGGTACTCCACGGTGCTGAGCACAGTGCTACCCTGCAGTGGACCCTGACTCAGCGCCTGCTGTGTAACCAGCACAGCTCCAGACACCTGCTTCCATCAGTGAGCCTGAGTCAAACCCAGGAACAGCTCCACTTTACAGACTGAGACAGGGACAGAGGGGCAAGGCGGGCTTCCCAGGGCCCGCAGGCAGCAAGTGGCCGAAGCAGCCTCAGAACCAGGCTCTCAGAGAGCATGGAGCAGCCCGAGGCTCGGCTTCCACCCCAAGGAGCACCCCGAGTCCCCAGACAGCCCCACGCTGCAGCTGTGCCTACAGGACCCCGAGCCAAGGATGGCTGGAGGCCAGGGTGTCCCGTGGCACCCTGGGGCCCTGTGGGCTCATCTCCAACGTCCCCGTGTGTGGGGAGGTTTGCACAAGGTCCTGACCTCTGGCTGCCAAGCACACGGGGAAGGCGGCCAAGCGGTCTTTCCCACTGCCTGGGGCAGACGGGCCTTGGGCCCACACTCGCTCTGGCCTGGAGGCTGCTGGCACGAAGGGCCCTCCTGGCTGAGAAGCTTCTTTATGGAGCTCTGGTCCTGAACAGACCAGCATGTTCCAATTACTGCAGTCATAACCCGCGGCTCTGTCAGTTTGTTTAATGAAAGAAGGGCTTCTTAAGCCTCAATGTTCCATGTCTGTATTGTCATTTTAATAGGCAAATATATAAAACCACAGAGGCAAACGTGAGCTACTGGCTGCTTCCGGCTGATCCCGGACCCCGGCGCACACATGCACAGGCACACAGCGGTTCTTTTCACATGACCCCCTCTCCCTGTCGGCACCAAAAGGATGCAAAAGGGCCAGGCGGGCAGCGGATGCCCTGCCCTGACCCGGGAGCCGCGTCTGCTCCGGGGCAAATTCAGCTGGCGTTCCGAGGCTGCCAGACGGCAGGCCGCTTTACCACCCAAGAGGCGGGCGGCTGCCTTTGAGGCCAGCTGTGAGCAGGGTCATTACTCTCCAGCCGGCTCAGATGTCAGCCCTGTGGCAGCCGGAGGAGGAAGTGTCGCTCTGAAGTCTAAAAGCCGTCGGGGGTTCACAGGGCTCCTGCCAGGAGCGGGGTGGTGGTGGGATGACACAGCAGTCATGGGGTCTGAGCCCTGGAGCCCGGGGGCCACGGGAAGGGATCTGTTGGGCACCCCACCTCTGCTCGTCTTTGCTGGGGCAGCTCTGAGGAACGGCAAGTGACTGGGGTGTGTGTGTCGGCGGGTGGTCTGCCTGTAGCTGCTCTCAGCAGGCCGCAGCACCCTCTTGCGACCCATTCGGGCTGTGGGACATCTGTGGGCTCAGGAGGAAGGAGTGGGACTGAAGGAACTTGGGCCAAGTCACACACTGGGCCAGAGCTCTGCTGCAGGGCCTGGGTCTGCGTCCTGGCTGAGCTGGCTGGGCCAGGTGACATTATCAGGAGCAGGCCAGTCCTTACCCTGTGTCAACTCAGACCCATGCTAATTCATGGGTTCCTGAGGCAGCTTGCACCAGCACCCCGGGCTGAGTCCTTTGGCCCCACAGCACCCCACGGACGCACCCCACCAGACGTGCCTGGGACGCCAGCGTCAGCTGCTTCCAACTGCAGCCACCTCTCTTCCTGTGGAGTCTGCACCCCTAGCAAAGGTTCCCCTCTAAAGCCAACAAAACAGACATGCCCTCACGCGCACGACTTGGTGCCCTCCGGGTGCCACCCATCTGTGGCCATCTGGCCTGGCCCAGCTGCGCCCCTCGCTGGGCGTGCAAGGTCCTGGCAGGACGGCAGGGCCGTAGGCTGCGGCTGTTTACATGAGCAGGGAACAATGCCTTGCCAATACTGATGAATAATTGGAAACAAATGCAAGGCCGTGTAAACACTTCTTTCCCCCAGTCCCAAATGATAAAGCCCCAAGATTAAGCAGGCGGGAAGAGAGGGTCGCCCCTCTGCCCTCTCTTCCCGCTGTGGCCCAAACATAAGGCTCCCCCTGCCCCGAGCAGGGCAGCGGATCACGGGCATGCCACATGCCCGGCGCTGTGGGCAGCCTGAGGCTGAGGGTGTTGGATGATTGGCCTGGGCATCCTGCCAGGCACTGCTGTGTGTCTCTGACCTTGGGGAGGTTGGCAAAGTGACCACCTGGGGCAGCAAAGACTGGGCTCCGCTGGAGGAGGCCCCTGCCAGGCCTGGCACTGGCTCTGTGGGACGTCGGCTCTGGTCTGAGGAGACCGTGGCCAGGACACTGCTCCATGCGGGTGAGCACCAGGCCGGCCTCCGCTCACAACAGCGGTGCTCACTGGCCAGCCCCTACAAACCTCCACAATGGCTCGGATCCCTCATCATCAAGCAGCTGGGAAGCGGGAGGCAGACAGGGCCTGAGGTTGGCTGAGCTATTCACAGAAACTGAAAGGGGACAGGAAACCCAAAGGGTCAGAGTCCAAAGGCCTGACTTCGGGTCCTCTGATGGGCATCAGGCCGTGTGGCCAAGACAGGAAGTCGCCTGAGCATGGACGCGCTCAGCTCCCCAAAACCAGCACTAAGGATCCCCTTCTGTGTCATCCCCTGCACCCCAGCCTCCTTCCTCTGCCTGCTCCGTCCCTGCCTGGGGTGAGGACAGGCGCAAGTATGCACACATGCAGCAGAGGGCCAGGGCAGGGCGAGTGCTTGGCGTCAGGGATGGCAGGGTGGGGGCTCAGGTCCCAAGGGGCCGGCTCTGGGGTGGAGTGCACACAGCAGATGCACCACAGGGCACCACAGCCTGCTCACCTCTCAGTGTGGTTCGGGACCCTGCTCTGCAACAGGGCTCCTCACCCCAGCATGGCTCTTCTTGTCCTGCGGGCCCCTAGAAAATCTTACTGCTGGTCACTCACCCCCACACACCCATCCCGGCCTGTGTGCCATGCTGCCCTGAGGCTGCCCAACTCCCTGCACTCAGCGGGTGGCCTGCACATTGGCCCAGAGGCTTCCAGGAGGCAAGCAGCCACAGGAGCCAAGCAAGGAGTGAGGGAGGTCTCTGATGGAGGAGGGAGGTGGGGTGGGACCCTCTGAAAGCAAAGCTCCCAGACAGGGCCGGCACAGCACACAGGGCAGGGCGGCTGCGGGGTCCCCACTGTGCTGAGGGCAAGCAGAGACGCATCCTGGTTCTGGGCATGGGGGCAAGCCTGAGTTGGACCCAGCCCTGCCCTGGTGCCCCCAGCCCTGACAAGTAGAAGGTCAACAGCTGCCAAGGCCTGTGCTGGGTTCCTGGTGGGAAGGGAGGCACCTGTCCCCGGTTAAACCTCAGTAAGGGCTGGGCTGAGACAGAGGGGCTGTGCTCCCCAGGTGGGGGGGCGGAAGGCGGTGGGAGAGACCAGGGCACTAGGCAAGGCACGAATGCCTGGCTGGCAGAGGGGCCTCAGCTGGCTTACTGTCCAGCCCTGACCCTCATGGCCAGGCCGGAGCATGACCTGCCTCTCAAAGTCCCTGTTCTCAACTCTGCCAGCATGTAGTCTCCAGGCTGCTGCTGGCCTGGCCTCCTCTGACCCCTGGCCCTCAGTCCCCTTGGCTCAGTGTTTTCTTTGGATGATGGCCACTGCTGCAAGCAGGTACTCTGGCACCAAGGACCATTTCCCACTGGGGTCCCTGGGCTCAGCTCCTGTCCTGCCCCCAGCCCTCAGGTGCGACCCCAGCCCTGCACAGCAGGCCTTGAGCTGCCTGCCTGCCTCACAGCGCAGCCCCATCCCACAGCTCATGTGTGGGGTGGGCCTCTGTGCTGTGACTGGACGGGTGTTTTCCGGTGCGGACAGTGGCGGGCTACTTCCGCGCTGCCTTGGCAGGCAGGCCTGCGGTTTGCCCGTGACCCGGGGTGCGGTGTTTGTTTTTGTGAATAGCTGCTGTTTGTCCTCCTTTGCACCGAGGCTCCAGGTTTTGCTGTATTTATAACTCAACATGACTCCTTGGGTCTAGCCTCGGTGGCTTTGTGTCCTGCGAACGTGGCAGGACGTGACAGAGACTCCGTGTTCTGCGCAGGCCCCACCTGTGTCGGTCTGGCTGCCAGGGCCTTCTCCAAGGTGTCAGTTTTATCCTGGCCCGGGGCGGGAAGGGGTGTGTGTGAGTGTGTGTGCTGTCAGGGGCCTCCGAGCTGTCACTGTGCCCTGGTTCTGGGCGAGGAGGGCTGTGTATGTGTGTGTTATGGAGGGTGGTGGTGGTGGTGGTGTGTGTGTTAGCAGAGTATGGTGCCCAAGACACCAGGCCCATCTCAGCCAGCAGCCCAGCCGCCCGCCGCTCCCCCGCATGGCACTGAGGGCTCCCACCTGGTCCCTGAGGCTGTGCCCCCACTCTCCACCCCACATCCCCACCTCTGCTCTGTCAGAAGGGGCAGCTTAGGGAGAAAAGCCTTTTGGCTATCGAGCGGCTCTTGCAAAATTGCATTTGATGAGTTAAGTGTAAATAAATGAGAACCAGATGGATTCGATTTCGGGTAAAATACACATAGGTCTTAGGGCTTTGGGGCCTGGGTTCTGGCGGATCCAGAACACTCCCTGAGCTGTCAAGAGCTCTGCCTCCGGCAGGCAGGAGGGAAAGCAGGGTCCCCCAGGACCTGTCCACTTCCTGTTCCACACACCAGCCGAGGCCTTCTCTGGGGGCCCTGATGCCCCGGCAGGTTGGCTGTTAGCGGGAGACACAGGTAATGGCAACAGTCCCATGAGCTGGGAGCCCACGGTCATGGGCCCACAGCCTCAGGACCGCTACCTAGGGAAGGCTCTGTGGAAGCTCCCGGCCTTTGAGGCCTACCCACCTGAGCCCTGCCCCACAGCTGACTGCTGACCAGTGTTCTTGGGACAATCTAGGCACAGGGCCAAGCCTCAGAGAGTGAACTGCTGCGACTCCGGGG